TTTGGGGCCCACAGGGCTTGGCCCTCTGACCCCTACTGCAGGTTCCCCACCGATATCCTCCAGCAGAGCTTGTCCCAATCCAACCCTCCCCCCAAACATATACTGTTCTCAACTTGCCCTAGAGCAGTTGAACTTTTGGGGCCCACAGGGCTTGGCCCTCCGAGCCTGCACTGCCCCTGATCGAATTTCGGCCCCGTGCTCGTCGTCAAATTCTATCTGCAGTACAGGGGCAGATGGAGCTCATGCGTGCGCGCACACACACACACACACACACACACACACACACACACACACACACACAGGCACACATGCACACACACACTGTTAGAGTTGTGTATAGCGAACATGACAAAACACAGATGCAACATAGTCACTACTTTACCCTTAGCCACATCAACAAACAAACTACGGGCTGTGCACCCATCCCCTCATGGTAAGTCAATAGTGTAGTAGCGTGGACTGACCCCCATAGATGTGGAAGTATTTCGTAAAGAACAGGCCAGCTGCTAATCAACTGCAATCAGGCCACCACACCCCTCATGCTTTGTGCTGCTCATGTTTTCTGCGGGCGGACACGCGTAGCAGGTAAGCTAGCTCGTGTGAAAAGGACAAGGTTGCCGGCAGTGGAATGCCTGGGAAGGTGCTAACACAGAAGGCGTGGATTGTACGACGCTCATTGAAAACAACGATGTGTTCAATGCTGGAGCTCATGGTCGGATGATGGTGGGGCAAGCTTGCGGGGAGTGTACGGCCGGGAAAGGACCAGGGCGCCTGCCGTTGAGCTCGATGGACGGCCGCTGGGTAGCCTTGCGTCGCGTGCAGGGATGGAAAAGAAAGACCAGCGTGCTTCCCATTGAACTGGACGGATCCAGCGATATCCGCGGTCTGTTGTTAGCGTGGGCGAGGAACACGTTGGCCCTTCTCTAGCCACGAATATACACACTCGGATGGTCGTGTACATGCGCGCGCGCACACACGCACGCATGCTACTGCACATACAAACAAATACACACACTCACACACACACAAACACCCGATCACACATACATGCACATGCGCGCACGTACGCACGCGAGGGGGTTGGAGAGAGAGAGAGAGAGAGAGAGAGAGAGAGAGAGAGAGAGAGAGAGAGAGAGAGAGAGAGAGAGAGAGAGAGAGAGAAGAGAGAGAGAGAGAGAGAGAGAGAGAGAGATGAGTTTAGAGAATGTGGCGATGATTGGTACAAGGATTTGCCATCAGGTGAGAGAGCGCGAGCTGCTGGGTGTACGATGGAGCCTTGTCCAGAGACTGGTGGTTGTCATATTGTTCGGCACTTGGGCGTTCCCTCCTCCCCGCAAAAGCTTGTACTTGCGGGGTGTTGCTGCGGAGAGAGCCCGTGTGGCATCCGGCCCTGTGCTGAGCCAATGCAAGGCTATGACGAGGGAGGAGTGTTGGGCAGAGGAACCCATTACAAGAGATGGCGTTTGCGTGTGGAAGCCCCTCTGCGTATCTCCCGACGGTAATTTCGTCAAATCTTTCTACTCCTTTTAACATTTGTCTCCTCCTCCTTTAGCCTTGCCATCATACTTATCATCACCCCTTTGTCCCCTTTGTCGTTATCGTCGACTTCGATGTCGTCGTTTTTGTCGCCGTCATCTTGGTCGTACTTGTGATCGCCCTACTCCTTCTCCTCCTCCTCCTCCTCCTCCTCCTCCTCTTCTTCTTCTTCTTCTTCTTCTTCTTCTTCTTCTTCTTCTTCTTCTTCTTCTTCTTCTTCTTCTTCTTCTTTATTTTAGTTCTCGACCACCTCCCCCACCCTCTGGCTATGTTCCCCTTGATCATTCCCGTATGCATCCCCGTTTTCTCGTTGCTCTTTGCTTCTTCCGTATCCTCCTTATTCCTACGCCATTGCGCCTTGCTTCGCTGCCTGTTCTCCTCCCATTCTTTGCTTCTCCTCCTCCTCTCCCTCCCATTCTTTGCTTCTCCTCCCTCTTTGCTCTGGGAAGGTTCGCCACGGTGGATGCGGGAGAGTGGATGCCCCTTGAGAAGTCCTGGTGCGCAGCCAGGCGAAACGCGTCATTGCGTGTTGAGCTGATTGTCCGTGCAGGTGATGTTCTGTTTATCACTAAGGCATGGACGTGTAGCGATTGGCCTCGCTTTTTCAAATTCAAATTCTTCTTCTTCCCTGGAGGTTGATCCCCTTCTTCTTCTTCTCTTTTTCAACACGTTGTTTTTTTCTGCTTCGTCGTCTCTCACACGTCCCTCTCTTCCTGGCTGCGTCTATGGTCTCCTTCTTCGTGTGCTCTGTCCGCTTAGAGCGTCCGTACTCCCTCCTTACCACCCGTCCCGATCTGGACTTGCAGCACAGTCCCCCGTCCCGATCTGGACTTGCAGCACAGTCGCTTGGCCAGGGCGAGAGATGTTCTGGGAGAAGGAAGCAAGAGATGTGGCGGAACGCACCTTGATATTCCTCCTCCCTTTCCTCTACTTCTCATCAGATAAGTAGCACCCACACTAACCTTGCATCCACGTCTGTGAAATCATACGGTATGACGGTACATCTCAAGGGAATCCCATCTTCACACGTGAAGAGTTGCATGCTAACGATGAGAATCAGACATAGCCAGACGATGACGCACACAGAGAGCCACCCCCCCGATACCCACCTATACAAGCGCGCGCTGAGGCACATAGAGGGGGCTAATGAGAAGGCCAATTGATTGCGAGAGACAAACAGACCGACAATCAGAGGTAGTCGAGCCCATGAATTCCTGATGCATCTGCCATAATTTACTCTCTCATTCAATTGCTGACATGGAAATGCTGGTCATCAAAAAAAAAAAAAAAAAAAAAAAAAAAAAAA